GACAAACATCTTATTTTCACACTCTCCAGTTTGCTGAAGGAAACACTTTTGCATCTAAGCCTGCCTCGTAGCCACATACTGTATGAAGCCATTCTTAAATTGCAGACCTTAGGGAATCTATCCCCAAAGCCACTGTGTGTTTATTGCTCTCTCAAGATGAATGTTACACATGTGGGAGCAAAACAGGTAGAAGGTTGGATTCCTTTTTATCTCATCATTATTCTATCCTAACATATTGACTTGGGCAAAAAAGAAGGAAAAAAAACCTGCTGCAATTTGAGAAGTGCAGATAAAAGGCAAGCTGTGAAGAGAAAATCATGTTGCTTTCCAAATGAGGGGAGAAAGAAGGGTGTGATTTAGAAATGTGGTCTTCTTCTTCTTCTCCCCTCCTCCTCCTCTTCCCTCTTATTTTATTTTAACCACTGATTTATTCAGTCTTTTAAAACACAATTATTTGAGTTATTTTGCCATTCACAAAAGAGGTTATTTCACAAGCAGGTGATGAGGTTTATCCTTTTGCTACAAGTAAAAAAAACCCCCACAGTTTTCCTGCAAAAATTATGTAAAGTGCAGCGTTTTGCAAACGAGTGGAATTTTAACATTCACAAGAGATTTGGGCATGTATTGCTGTCCAATTCATGTACTCAAGAGAGAGAAAGAGAGAACAAAAAGTCCTTGCAAAACTAAATAATCTAAAGTCATCAGATGGCAGCTGTTCCACATGGTAAACAATGTCACATTACTTTTAATTGTGAATTCACAATGCAACACTTTGATACCATCTTATAGAATGTTGGATATTTTTGTATGTTGAACCCTGTAACATAATTATAGTTTAAAAAAGAGTTCATGACAAGTTAAAATACCTCATTAACTTAAAATTTCTGGGACTCCAAAAGGCAGACCCATAACATTTAAAGTGGTATCAAACTACTATAAGAATGGAGTGTGAATACGCCTAAGGACTATCACAATTATTTTAGATTTTCTGAAGTTGCTGCCAATAATATGGTATTTGGCAGGTTGTCACTATATGCCTCCAAGTTGAATCTGACTAAAGGCAACCCACTGACTAAAATCTGACTAAAGGCAATATCAAAAAGGATATTGATTAAACTAAATCGTGTCCAGAGAAGGGCAACCAAAATAATCAAAGATTTGGAAACAAAGCCCTATAAGGAACGGCTTACGGACCTGGGGATATTTAGCTTAGAGAAGAGAAGATTAAGAAAGGATGTCATGTTGAGGAGGGAGCAAGCATATTTTCTGCTGCTCTAGAAACTAGGATACAGAGCAATGGATGCAAATTGCAGGAAAAAAGTTTCCACCTGAATATCAGGAAGAACATTCTGATCGTAAGAGCCATTTGGGAATGGGATATGCTGTACTGCCTTGGATTGTGGTGGAGTCTCCTTCTCTGGAAGTTTTTTAGCATATCTGGATGGCCATCTGTTGAGGATGCTTTTATTGTGTGTTCCTGCATGGCAGGGGGTTGGACTGGATAGCCCTTTGGGTCTCTTCCAGCTTTATGATTCTATAATTATATTTTAGGGTTTTCTTGGACAATTATATTCAGAAGAGGATTGTTGCTTCTTTCTTCCAAGTTTGAGAGAGTATGACTTTCCCAAGATCATGCAATGGATTTATATGGCTGAGTGGGAATTAGGGTTGTGTGCAGATTTTTGTTTACTCTGTTTCCTTTGGTATCTATAGTACTTGGAGAACCCATAAAGGTTAAGGGCCCTCCTGGTACAAAAACCCACCCGACAAGAAAGCCAATCTTGGCTCCTCCTCCCCTGTTTGGCAACTTTTTTTCTCCTTCCCTTCCTCTCCTTCAGGAAATACTTCTAAAATATTATTATTAATAATAGTAATACCAGCAAACAAAAAGATAAGCTTATCTCTCTTCTAGAGTTGAAAGTAGAAACAGCTTCAAGGAAGCAAAACCCCAAGCAGAAAGGAGATTGTAGCCTTGCAGGCAAGTGAGGAGATTTTTAAGGTAGTCCAGGGAGGATAGCTCGACTGAGCTCCAGGTCAGGGGTCCTCAAACTAAGGCCCGGGGGCCGGATGCGGCCCTCCAAGGTCATTTACCTGGCCCTCACTCAGGGTCAACCTAAGTCTGAAACGATTTGAAAGCACATAACAATAACAACACTCCTATCTAATCAGTCAAAAATAGGCCCACACTTCCCATTGAAATACTAACAATTTTATATTTGTTTAAATTGTTCTTCATTTTAATTATTGTTTTGTTTTTGTTTTTTGCACTACAAATAAGATATGTGCAGTGTGCATAGGAATTCATTCATTTTTTTCAAATTATAATCCGGCCGTCCAACAATTTGGGGGACTGTGACCTGGCCCTCTGTTTAAAAAGTTTGTGGACCCCTGCTCCAGGTCATCGCTCCTCGTTCCCTGGGCAACCTTAAAATGTCTTGGAAAGCTGTTGGTGCTTGGAGAGAAGCAAGTGCATGCCTGCCTCTCCTCTAGAGAAAACAGATTAAAGAAGCAGTAAACTCAGTCTCCTCCTCTACAAACAGAAAGGACAGGATTCAGAAACTTAGAAATGGTAACTCTGATGCTTTTTTAAATCCAGGTCTTAATGAAAGATATGTAAGGGGGGCTGTGGGAAGTACCCCCTCCCCCCAATAATGGGCTGCACTGCTACGCACCAAAAAGTTGTCTGATATAACCAAATACATATGTGCAATTTCAAGCAGCATATAGTAAGCAGTGTTCACTGTAGACCTGGGATTTAATACTGTCTCAACCTTGCCTTGAGTAAATTGCCTTTGGATTGGAGATAGATCACAGTTTTTAAAAGTGTCAGAAATAGTACCATAGAGGTATCTCTGATGGTGTATATTCACATTTGTTTTTGTGCTATTCTCATCAAACAAGTTTTGCAGGCTTTTCAGCCCCCATGGAAAACCTCATTTTCTAGAGGTAAGTATTATATCACATTCCAAACTCCTAAGACAGTCATGATCATATGCAAAACTGTACTGTTGGTGACATATCAGGCAATTTTAGTTAATTCTAAAAAATCTCATCCATCTATCAGTTTCCAAAAGACCAGATTTTGAGTACTATTGTGGAATGTTTGTCAGCATCTTTTACCTGATGACTAGAATCAGTGACATTACAAAGTCAATTTGCAGGCTTCTGCTATTTCCTTGTAATTCTTGCATCCAAAGGTACATTTTACTGGGCAGTGAAGAATAGCCTGTGTCTCCGCTTAAGGGTTCTGCACACTTAGCCCATCACTTTCACTTAAAAGTGTGCCAGTGTTGGAGCAAAGCCCAGACTGCAACAAAATTACTTGGTAGGCTGCCGCTCCTTGGAAATTTAGACAGAAAGGTGCATTGTGATTAACTGTGGAAGGGTCTCATTTTTTATTCTCTACACACAATGGGGATGATAAATATTAATTGCTCTTAGCGGATGGGCCAATGCAAGAAGAGATGCATTGGCTGTCTTTTCATTATTGCTGAAAGTGAGACTGAGAGCCTGGAAACTGCTGCTACTATTTTCTCTGATGTTATCCAGGCTCTTGTTAAGTTTATTCATTAAAAAACTGAGGGTATGCACTGTGTGTGCATAAATGAGAAAAGAGCTGAGTAAGCAAGTCTCCTGCTGCTGTAGTTGGATGGGCTTTATTATACTACTTGGTAAACATACTTGCTTCTGCTGTAGCTGGACTGTTTCCTACTCTAGAGCACTGATTCCCAACCTGTGGTCCATGGACCACCAGTGGTCTCCTAGAACAAAAGTATTGTCCATGGCCTCACCATTACTACACTGTTGCAATGAGAGTGACTGGTCTCGCGAAACCCTCTTATAGTGCCAAGGCAACAGGGATGTAGGAAGGGGAGACTACCCTGAAAAGCACAACAAGCCTCTTGAGTGCTGCTTCTCCTCCTCCTCCTCCCTTCCCTATGTGGCGCCTGGAAGCAGGGGTGCCTTGGTGTCTTTGTTTTTAGACCTGTTCCTGGGGTTATTTGGGGGTACTGATTCAGACCATGCATAGACCATATCAACTATAGATTATTAAATATGGTCTTCTGTGGGTGAGCAGATGGTGACTACTGGATGGCATATGTTCTGTATCAGAAACTAGAGCTGATGTGGTCTATCCAATGCAATATTCTGAATCAGCACCCCAAATAACCAATCTGAATCTAAAGTGAATCTAAAAACTTATTCATAATCCTTTTGGTACTAATGTTAGAGAGTGGTCTCTGGTCAAAGTGGTCCCTGGTCAAAGTGATCCATGGTCAAAGTGGTCCCTGGTTGAAAAAAAGGTTGGGAACCACTGCTATGTAGGAAAGCCATCTACCATCAATGATCCATTAGGAAAGATTCCAGGATATAAAGGAAAGCAGGTGAAAACAGATACCAGTGGATCTATATTGACCTGCCTTGACCCACATTACTGTGAGCCAGCTTTGTGCATAGTTTGGCTACCACAGGCCTGATTTGGGGGCTTGTTGCATTGTGGTCATTGTAGATGTACCTGAGTGTCCCATTCATACTATATACTTACAGTGCTGTCATTCCATTTTAGCTTTAGTTCAGTCCTATGGTATCCAGAGCTTTTCAGTTTCAGGTAAACTATTTGGAATTTTCAGGTCAGAAGCTTTAGTGTCTCACCAAATAAGGCCCAGGATTCATTAGGCAGTTAAAGTGGAATTGTGTGGAGTGAATGAGCCATAGGATTCACTTTGTTAAAACAGCAACAGACAGGATACTAGTTTTTCAGTTTTGTTTGTTTCCAATAGCATCATTTCTTAATATTGCATTTTATAAATAGATTTAACTTTTGGAACCAAGGATCAAAATTGGTGTATTAATCTACTTGATAAAGGAATATTTTGTACAATAGTTTAAGTGTTAATTTTCTAGATATTATTATTTCTTTTACTAAAAGAAAAATATTTAAAATTCAGTGGAAATTGATATAATTTTAATGATATATCCTGTGGTTTTTTTCATCCTAGATGTATATCACCAACACGATAAAAGCCAGAGGAACAAGACTGGCAAAACCAGTCCTTTGCTTTAGCCTAATGTGTTTGGCATTCCTTACTGGTATCAACAGAGTAGCAGAATATCGAAATCATTGGTCGGATGTGATAGCGGGATTTGTAGTTGGCATTTCTATAGCAGTCTTTTTGGTAAGTACAGTTGCATATGAATCTTTCTGTTGCATTGGGTTTGGCTGCAAAGGTGTCCCTGGTGGTCCATTTATTACATCAGAAGCGCTTTGCCTGAAAATGTGCATATATTTTGCCTATATTTACGAATTACTGAACATATGAATTACCTGAAGATATGCTAATCTAAGCCCAGCATGGATTTCAGTGAACACCATCAGAAAGCACCCTTATTTCTGCAATGGATGGCTTATTGATTCCCTTGGGAGGACTAGTTCCATATATGCATCTTTGTAACTACTGCTACATGATTCCCTCTTAAGTGTTGAACTGAATGGCAAAACTGTCTGAAAAAATAATTCTGGGTAAACACCTGCACTTCCCAGGAATGTTGTTTATGCAGAAAATTATATTTCAAATCTTAATTATTAAATGACTGTTTAATTGCATCATTAAATTATTTGTAAATTCCAAACAGATTGGCTAATCAGGCCATTGTAAATGGAGGAAGAATCATGTTTGACTGTAGGCCCACTAAATGATAATTTTCAAGGTTATTCATTTTTCTCAGAAGTCCAAACCTGTATAGTTTTTGTTGCATCCTATTGTTTAGCCAGATCCAAGTGTTTCTCCAGTACACATTGACTCCAATAAGTCACCAGCCAATGGAAAATGCAGTGCTGGTATTTTCAGGATGTAGAAAAGCTACTTCCTGAATCCTCTTAATTATTATGATTCATTCTGACTGGGGAAATTCTGAGAGTTGTAGTAAAAATGTACTTTGAAGTCTGCTTATTCCATGAATAAATGACAGGATTTGTAGTGCAACAGTGGAGAAAGCCGCATGATTTCTACTCCTGCTCTACTGGATGCCTGTGATATAATTTATTTGATTATATTGCCTATTTCTTGCAAGTCCAGATATTATTCTTTTGGCATATTAAAGAAGGCAAACCAATGGATGATGGAAGCTACAGTCTGCAACTCATCCCACTTCCAAAATCTCTTATCCATATTATTTGTTGATTTCTCCCCAGGGGAGATAGGGTGGCCTATAAATAAATTTTTATTATATTATGTATTATTATTCTTTGTTCAGTAACATGAATGCACACATGAAAATGTGCTGGTGATTGGTGAAAGTAAAAAAGGTGTTTTATATGCTGTTCCACTTGACCACCTATCTTGTTCAATATTTGAAAGCTGTCCCAAGTTTATAATTAAATTGAGGGGAACTCCATTACATTACAGTTTTGTGTTGGCATGAATAATTTTGCAATCTCATTCATTTTGGCATGGTGATTCGATAAATATTTATATTTGATTTTATAAAACCTTTTCATAATATCTAATTTTGTCCTTTTTTCTAGGTTGTGTGTGTGGTAAATAATTTTAGAGGTAGACAGCCTGAAAATGAACATTCACACATGGACAATCTGGCTCAAATGCCCATGATCAGCATTCCTCGGGTAGAAAGCCCTTTAGAAAAGGTAATATCCTTTTTGCATTGGAAAGTGTGTGTGTGTGCGTAATCTGAGACATAATGGCTGTTTGTCACTTTTTAAATAAAAAGTTTATTTAAATATATACTTGTATTTTGTCAGCAATTTTATCTAAGTTTTTGCATGTAAGGCTCTCCAACATATCCTTTTTAGGAAAAACGGCAATAGTTTGACCTTTTTTCTTTTCTCTGTATCTCTTTATGCCAAAATCTGGTTATTCTGAAAGTGCAATAATGTTTTTAGGGGGGGGGTAATTCTTTGCTCCCTCTGTACCCAGAGGGAGGTCCACCTGGTTATGGAGCCCCAAGATTGGAAGAAGATCTGAGCACCAAGGCTTCTGATTTCTCAGCAGAGCTCTAAGGCTTCTGGCTTTAGTTCATTTCCTTGACCCAGGAAGTCACCTCAAAAGACACACATTTTTAAATGCAATATTTCTGGGGATATAGATCTTTTTAAATTAGAAAACTAAAATGTCAAAATTTGGGGAGTGCAAAATAATTTCATATTGATACACATGTATATGTGAAGTACTGCAAGTACTGTGGACCCATGGTATCCACTGGGTTTTGGTTCAAGGACCCCTCTCCTCTGCCTGGGAATGCCAAGATATGTATTGTTCAATATCTATTATATGCAATGGCATATGGCAAAATCAAGGTTTGAGGTTTACATTTCTTTTAAAAATACTTTGATGCTGTAGATGGTTAAATCCGTTGATATAGAATCCATGGATATGGGGAGCAGACTGTGAGTTTAATTTATATTAAAATGTGGACTAAGCAAATTGCCTGCCCATCCCTTCTAGCAGCATACTCCTTTTGTCAGGACATCAAGTATGCGTTTTGGAGAATTTGTTTATTGTTTAGCCAAAATGACTGTTAGGTAGGTGTAGGTATTCATACACGAAGCAAGTTAGAATAAACCATACACACTATCTTAAGTTTTAGATTGTGTGCAAAAGATGTCAGTTTTGGAAATATATCATTCAATTGTACAGTTATAGATCTTTTAGCAAATTAGGTGTGTTTGTGAGCATTATTTCTTTGATAGAAAATTTGCTAGTAGAGTCAGAAAAAAAATCTATGCCATAAATAAAGGAGTAGAATATGTTTTAGCAAACCATTTATCCAAAACGAACAATATGTGAAAGGAATTAACTGGGCACATACATTTTACAAAATGAAATAAAAATACCTTGACCTCCAAGAGACTATTTGAAATGGTCTTTCAGAATGTATCCAGGGATAATTTTTCTTTCACTACTCTGCTTTTCTTATGACTTATAAATCAGTGCTTCTTTAAATTGCTGGAGACAGCTTCTCTTTACCTTGTCTGGTGTATGTAGGCACACACCAATACAATAGGATCATATAGAATGGAAATCTGTACTTCGTTTATTGCAGTGTTGCAGATAAGCTACCAAAAACCCAATACTGAAAGTCTGTTTTTCCAACCTTCTTCCACATCTGCCTAATGTGAATGCTGCTAAAAAGAAATCTTTCAAACAAAACAGAGGAAATGGGGGTTTACAAAAGGAACTGTTTTGTCAGAGGCTTTGTTAAGTAGGATATGTCTGTGCAATCTTATTTGAGTTAGAATATTTTTGTTACAAAATCTGCCACAGAAAGCAATAATGGGAGAGAATGAACAACACATTTCAGCCATTATTACTACCCTTCAGGAAGTTGGCTAACTCTGTAGGTCAGTAGTGTCCAACCATTGGTCCTCTAGGTGTTTGGGACTCCAACTCCCAAAAGCCTTGGCCAGCTTGTCCAGTGTTAGAAATTCTAGAAGCTGGAGTCCCAAACACCTGAAGCACCAAAGGTTGGATACCACTGCTGTAGGTTAAATCAAACATTAATCTTACTCAAAGTAGTCCCCATGTTAGTCACAGCTAACGTCAACTCAATGATTTCAGTATGACTATTCAATGTGGTGTTAATGTTGGATTTAGCCTCTAATAATGGAGTACAAAGGACTAGAAAATAACAGCAACAACAACAACAATTTATTTATTTATAACCCACCCTATCTCCCCCAATCTGTCCACTTGATAATAGTTTAATTTCTCACTCTTATTTCTTCCTTTTTCAGTCTTATACTTACTGTACCCTTTTACCAACTGAGAGCAATTAAAGCATTTTCTTTGTTAACACAAAGTGTTGTTTTATTCAACCAATTGATGATAGTGTTTATTTCTCAATTTTATACTTACCCTTCCACCCATTGATGACTGATAGAGCATCTTCTGCATCAACAAAAATGAATTTTGATATATTCATCATAATATACCTTGTATTTATTGCAAAACCCCCACATTTAAATGTGAAAGCTATTTTCACATCTTGTAGGAAGGCGCACTTAGGGTTTCTGTCAGGTAAAATCTCAGAAGGAACTACCAATCATAGCAACACCAGGTAATCTTTTTTACTCCAGTTGGATGAATACCATTATCACCACATGGCCAGCTACAATCAAGAACTCTATGCATAGGACAAAAAGGGAGCTAGTCACCTGCTGCCATAGTTGAATAGTATCCTTCTCCAGCCACAGACCATGCACCAGCAAGGAATCAAAGTGTGGAGAAGAAAGCAAATCATAACTTCCTTTTCAGTACTGGCTGGTGGTTTCCATATGAGTTTGATGGTGAGTCCACTCAAAGCATGTGTCTAAACTTTATGTAGTACATATTTTGGGATAAGGTTTAGTCCCATGGACTGAAATCTTAAGTAGAAGTAACATCCCACTGATATGGACAGCACCAGGCATGACTGATCATGGCCCTTGAAAAGTATAACTTTGACCAAAGCAATGCATCAAGCAGATAGTGTGAGATATGGCCGAAGGAGAAGGGGAAAGAGGGCACGTTCCATTTGGAAGCTCACTGTTGTTTCTTCCTCCCACTGAGCCAAGAGCAACTGCATTTTCCTTTGAATTGTCTCTCCCAACTCCCTTCTCAGTGGTAAACTACAGCACCCTCAGCCTTTCCTAAAGCATGACAGCTACTGGTGGGAACAGCTTTTAAATGAGACACAAAGGGCTAAAATGGAGCCTCTTCTCCTGTGGCTCATTCAAATGAAGAAACATATGTTCATAAACCACACTTATACATTGATAAAGCATTCAAGATTTCAGCCACTGTTTGCATTTTATGCTGAACATGTATAGGTGTGTACTTAAAACATGTAACTTGTGCATCACAAAATAGGTATCAGTCCAACAGCAGTCTTAGGAAGCTAGTCACAGCCCATAGGTGTCTGTTCTGATTTGCCTGCTTTTATCACAAAATGCACACCATCAGCCAAGTAAGGTATAGATTAGTAATAACACATGAAAGGAGATTTGCATCAGTATACATGTTTGTATTTCATAGCTAGCTTGCTAGCTAGCAAGATAGATAGACATATAAACTGTTTGACTGATTGCTAGAGCACATGGGAGGCTATTTGCAGGCCACAAAGTTGCAAGACTAGGGTGGAAAGAAAAATGTTTTTTTGTTTGTTTTCTTTAGGATAAAAACACTGATTTAATTGACATCATGGGGTGTTACAATTCAGCATGGACAGTTGTAAAAGCTTTTATGTGTTCCATTCAGTTCCAGAGTAGAACAAACAGATTGCTTTTCGGCATTCGTCATAGTGCTCAATGGATGTCTCTGTAAGCCTTTCTGACACTTTGTCATAAGGAGGTCACCATCTCATTTGCATGAGCAAGCATTTGGTTGATGACCATGTTTCTTCAGTAACATCCATGCCATTAGCTCATGGTGAGATGTCAGAGTGAAACAAGATATTGATTGCCTGGGAAAGTCTTTGGTCTGGTGTAAACCACAATAGGGGCAGCCTATCATAGCTTCATAAAAGATGTAGGATTTATTTGTGGAGGGGATGGTATTTGCAATCTGTGATTCAGTGGTCTGATTGCATATTGTTGCACACTGGGGACTCTAAATACAAAATGGGGCAATGAACACATCAGAGCACTGTGAAAGGTGGGATATTTTCCTAGCTACTTGCAGGGCCCCCATGACGTTCTACTGCCCCTTGCTCTGGATTAACAGTGTCCTATAGCTCTCTTGGAGAGTGCTGCTGCTGTCTTCTTGAGCTGTCATTGCTTATGGCCAGGCTGTTGTGCAAAGTGCTGTTGCTCAATGGCCCTGCCACTCACTGTAGTCTTTATGGTGCCTGTGTGCCTATCCAGCAACTCTAAGCTGCACAATAAATTCCAAACAGGATGCTAGTACATTATTTTTGTGCAAAACATTGGGTTTTGCACCAAACCAAAAAGGGCAAATGGAAGTACTGTAAAAAGATATCAAATTCACAAAAATCTTACTTTCTCAAACCATGGCAGATTTTTTTTTAATCATTCTCAATTATAAAGATGACCTAAGGGAAGATTTGCATCTCTAGTTTCTAAATTATTCAGGTTCCTCTACAGATATAAGCACCACAAGCGCTTGGTTGTTTTCGAGAAGATAACTTGAGTTATGTGTCAAAAAAGCAATATACCATCAGTGGTAGGCCTGCTACCCCTTTAATTAGGAAAAAAACGTTAGAAAAAAATGGCATAACTTTTGTGATCCTTGGTTCTGTATCTTCCCTTTTCTCAATAAGGAAGAATTCTGGTATCGCTCAGAACATGTTTTTCTCAGAATCTTCCACCATATCCACATCTTTATTTCTCTTATTATCTGCTTTTCCCTTATCCCCAATGTTACTAGTATTTCAGAGGAGGGAACTGATAAAACCATCTCAGAGTCTTTCTTGCCCTAAAAAACTATTAAATTCATGGGGTCCCAATAAGTCAATTGAGGCTTGAAGGAACACACACATGCAGACTGGATCTCATCAAGGTCAAACATCAAAAGGCAAACTACCATAAACAGGAGCCAACATCAGGCCATCTATTTTTCAGAGCTCTTTACTGACACCAACAACAGATTCTTTGCTTTATGAGAGTAGAAAAGTAGCTGCTTCATCAGAATA